ATAAATATTAATTTTTTTGAATACATTTATTATTTTCTTATGTCCTTGTCATTTTAATATTTTCTTCGTTAAAAATATTTTTAAGTAATTTTTTTCGGTTCTCTTTGTAATAAATATAGTTAAAAAAAGAAAGATATAATTAATAAAATAATAATTAATGTATTTTTGAACTTTGTAAATATAATATATTTAAAAACAAATATTTTTACCCATTAAAAAATTTTTGTTTAATTAATTATTAAACTTTATTTTTAAATAATTGTCATTAAAATTAAAGTATTGATCAATTTTTAAAATTTAAGATTATATTAATTATTTTTATTAATTAATTATATCTTTTTTATCTAATATTTTTTTAATTATATTTATTTTAGAGACGATAATAAATTATTAAAAAATTAAGATATAAGTATATATATATATATATATATATATAATGTTAAAAATAATAAAATGAATATTTATCATAATAAATATAATTTAACTTTAAATCACACCAATATAAAAATATCTGTAATATTTAATATAATACCGAAATTACTATATATATTATTGAGAAAGTGTAATTACTTTTTTTATTTTATTAACATAGTCTATCAATTCTCTTATCTCGAATAACATTGGTTATCAAGCATTTTTTTTTCACTCAAATGTTTAAAGCTAGCTGAAAACAAAAATCACAATATCAAACTACAATTTTGTTATTCGTTGAACTAATAGTATAACACATAGTTTGTCCCTCTTTTCTATTCAAACCAAAATTTTCCCTATCTTACCACTCTTACCTTAGCTGTATGCAAATTAAAATCATAATCACATGTACAAATATATGAAAAAATATTTTATAAAAATATTACACTTATTAAAGAAAATCATAATTAACTGCAATAATGTTACAGTACCAACACATACGCATAAATACTTAAAGTTTCAAAACAATATCATATTATCACTCTTTAGAGATAAATAAATGATAGAGAAAAAATAAAATAAAAAAGGAGAGATGATTACTTAAAAAACCTAGTTAGGGAATAAGAAAATTAGAAAAATGATATTTGAACTTTATATGTTGAAGAATAATTTCGGGTAATTAATACTCATTTATTTTGAAAATGAGTTATTTATGATTTGACTATAATTTTTAAAATTTATAATAATGCCTTTAGTTTTGTTCTAATAGTATCTTTAACATTCTTTTAGAAATATTTTTTTTAATAATTTAATTATTTGTATAATAAATATAATTAAAAAACAGAAATGATAAAAAATTAATTAATGTAATATTAAAATTTATAAATGATAGATAAATACAACAAACCTAAAAAAACCTGCCATTAAAAATAAATAAAAGAATAATAATTAATATTATCCTTAAGACATAATTATCCTCCATCTATTTATTATTTATTATTTGATGTTTAAGATATTTTTTCTGCCTATAATAATTCTATTTATCTTTTCGCCTTAACATCTTTATCATTTTTAACATTATCTCTATTAAAAATTATAATTCTCTATATATAAAAGATAATTAAAATTATAAGAATAAATAATAAAAATTTGAATTTTGACAAATGATAAATAAATATAAATATTTTAAAAAAATGAGAATTACAAAATTATTATTAAAACATAATTTATTAAATATTCTCCTCATTTATTGATATTTTAGGATTTATTTATTATTTTTAAAAAATATTTTTAATTTTTTACTTATCTGATAATTATTTTGTTAAAATCATTTTTAAAAGTAAAAAATAAAATAAAATAAATAAAATATATTTTTTATAATTTTTGTTTTTACTTGGATATCAACTTTTATCTAACAATTATCTTAAATTATTTATTTTTATTATTATAAAATTATTAAAGTCATTTTTTAATTTTGATTACGATTTTTTATTATTATTTATGTCATATTTTTTGTTTAAAATAATTTTAAAAAATAAAAATTGTCAAATAATTTTTTTAAAATAAAACTAAATCGAACTCAGTTGCTTCTGTTTTATGGACATGAAGTGTCATTTTTTTTCATTTATACTTCCACTTAAGTGTATTATTAACTATCACCATTTTTTTTGGTATTTAAAAAAATATTTAAAACTATAAATATTAAATAAAAGTATATTAGACTGAGTATATTATTTATCATTAATTTTTAAAATACTGTATAATAAATTTAAATATAAAAGAGTTTGAGAATAAAAAAAATATTTGAAAGAATTAAAGATAGGTTGTGTAAATCAAAATGATGAAATAAGTAAAAGAAAAAAGAAAACTTCCACAGGAGTTGCTTAAATGAATAAAAATTTATTTTAATATAGACTATTAGTTAAAATTGTTTATATTTTTTTAATTTTTGAGCAGATTTATAGTAAAATACTCCTTCTCTGTTTGTTTGAAAATATATGATATTTTTAGTAGAAAATCTTATCTATAAATATATAAAGTTTAAAAAGTTTTAAATTGTATTAATTATTCTTTGATTAATTTTTTAATTATATTTATACTAAGACGAATAAATAAATTATTTAAGTATTTTTTAATTCATGAAAATTAAAAAAAAAATATTATTCTGTAACCAAACCTAATCATGAAATATTTTGAAATAGGAGAATAAAAAAATGTATTTTTAAACCATTCTTTAAACGTCCTGATTAATTTCTGTGCATAACATAAAAGAAATTGACGCGTTTTCCCACATTTGACTCATATTGACCAAATTCCAGTTTCATCGAAACTTGAGAAGTGTCCATTCAAATGTGTCCTTTCACTTAGCGTTCCTCAATCTGATCCAGTGTCGCCGTTTCCAAGCAAATATTCTACACCGTCACTACACCAAAAGATAAGAACAATATAATTGAGACAATGCTCTATAATTTATAAGCTTGGCCCCTATTAGATTTCGTTCACATTTCCACCATCATACACACTATAATATTATGCAAAAACTTATCTCAACTCATCATATCATATCATGTCTTTGATTTTGATTTTGCTACCCTAATACAACATATTATTAACTTTCATGTATTAATTAAAAAAAGATAATGAGAAGATTTTCATTTCTTTTATAAATACCTAGGATCACAGGCACATCGAGATATATTCGTTAAAATATTTGATGTCATTAAAATGTGTTATGATACAGTCGTCGATTTGAAGTCGATATTAAAGATAATTGAAATATATTATTCTTTCTTAATCGATAAGTTTTTTTTAAGACAAAATCGACAAGAAATGAATGGAATAAAATGCAATGTCATACAACAGTATCCAGTGTTTATTGTTTTTTTGCTTACGCAATTCTTGGTCTAGAAACCATGATGATATGTTTGTTGTAACTGGCACGGGTAATGCATCTTTTTCCCACCTGTTGGGTCTCCAAATTCATGTTCATTGTTGCAAACATTCCAGTGTTCCACTACCATTTGCCTTTTCCTTTATGCAGTCACAACAGTTACCACTTTATGAAAGTAAACGGTTGTTGCTGTTTGTTACTTCCATCTTTTTCTTTTCTCCCTCTAGCCTAGTAGTCACGCGTCATTATTTTCTCTCATTGTTTGATGCTAGTTACATTATCAGAAATACCATCCTTTTCTTCATATTTAGCATCATTCTTGTTGTGTATTTTTTTCCCTCTGACCAGACACTAATGATCAACATAGATCACTCAACAGATCATTTGTTACTTAAAGAGAACATTTTGTTACCAATGGACTTGCAAGGTGCATCTACCTCTAACTACTAACTCAATTACCTTTCTCAAACAAAGTCAATTAATTAGTTGACATCATTATCATGTATTAAGCTTGGTGGATCTGAAAAATCACATATTGGGAATTGCAACCTTGACTTTGAGGGTAGTATATATAGTATTTTGAGTGCATTTGAGGAATGGAATGCCCCGTCTATCACAATTAAATTAGTACCACATTTATTATCTTCAGGATCAAATCTAGTAATGCATGTGGCCTAGACTCAATAAAACAAATGCTCCACATTTTTTTGTTGTTGTCTAAAAACATTGATTTTTCTAGTCACTTTCCCAATATAGAGAGAAATACCATATGCATAATTAGTTTTTTTTTTTTTTTCGAACAAAATTTGTAGACTAGGAACACGAGTAATTAAAAAGTATGTTATTTAAATGTTGTTTTGGCGAGACATATGCTTCGTTTTTTAAATGCTTATTTAAAAATGTACGGGACACTTACAAGACTAAAGTAATAAACTATAATCGGTAAAAAAAAAATTTATAATAATTTTACAATATATTTAAATTGCAGTTTTAATAGTTTGTTTCAAAATTAATAATTATAATTATAATACTTTTAAATCAATATATGAGACCATTTATTTTTCTTTTCTTTTCCTTAGTTGATTAAACAGAAGATTAGTTATATTCTGTGCTAAGATGGAAACAGACTTTTGTTATTTACTGAGAAAGAAAGAGCTTATTTGTTTAAATAATATTATATAATGCCTATATCTTCTTAACCCTTCTAGTTGTTTCACTTGGTATCTATCTATCTATCTATTTGATGGATCATTAGAACCTTAAAACTTAAATGGGAACTATTGTCTATGGAATTAATAGAATATTTGGTCTTAATATTTATAGTAATTAACAAAACAAAACAAAAAAACGCATATAACAATTAATGTTAATTTTATAATAATTAATAAAATATTATGATAAGACAACTTATAGTTATTGAATCTTGTACAATTTTGAATTGTTCTAGAAATGTATAAGTGTGAAATAATTATGAACTGCATACAGTAAATACAATAATTTAAAAAACATCTTTCTATAAATGTGAAGTGTCTTTAAAGAGAGAGAGAGAGAGGGAGGCAAAATGGTCCCAAAACCGAATCAAAGGAAATCAAAGCAGAGGTAGTAAGTAGTAGTAACCCAGTTGGAAGTTGCAGTGCGACGACGGGAACAAGAACCAGACCAAAGCAGCATTGTGATTGTTCTTCGTTCAGACGACGAAATGTCTGTGCTTCCTCTCTTCCTCTTCACTATGTTTCTCCTCCAACAACCTCCCTTCATATCTGCACTCAACCAAGACGGTTTATATCTCTACCAGTGGAAGCAATCCCTCGACGACCCTGACTCATCACTCGCCTCGTGGAACAACCGCGACACAACCCCATGCAATTGGGCCGGCGTCACTTGCGGCCCAAATACCACCACCGTCACCGCACTCGACCTCTCCAACTTCAACGTCGCAGGCCCATTCTCAGCCACCTTCCTCTGCCGCCTCCCCAACCTCACCTCCATCATCCTCTTTAACAACTCCATCAACCAAACCCTTCCTCTCCAAATTTCCCTCTGCACCTCACTCCTCCACCTCGACCTCTCCCAGAACCTCCTCACCGGCACCCTCCCCCACTCCCTCCCCCTCCTCCCCAACCTCCGCTACCTCGACCTCACCGGCAACAACTTCTCCGGCCCCGTCCCCCCCTCCTTCGGAACCTTTCAGAACCTCCAAACCCTCTCCCTCGTATTCAACCTCCTCGACGACGTCGTTCCGCCTTCTCTCTTCAACATTACCTCCCTCAAAACGCTCAACCTCTCCTACAACCCCTTCCACCCTTCCCCCATTCCTCCCTCCGTCGGCAACCTCACCAACTTGGAAACGCTCTGGCTCAGCGGGTGCAACCTTGTGGGCCCCATTCCCGACTCCCTCGGGAACCTCAAAAACCTTGGCGTCTTGGATTTGGCCTTCAACAACCTCTATGGACCCATCCCGAGTTCGCTCACTCGCATCAGCAGTCTCAAGCAGATTGAGTTATACAACAACTCGCTCTCCGGTGAATTGCCTAAAGGAATGTCCAACCTCACTTCGTTGAGACTCGTTGATGTTTCCATGAACCATTTGAGTGGACCCATTCCCGATGAGTTGTGTCGTTTGCCTCTCGAGAGTCTTAACCTCTATGAGAATGGTTTCACCGGGGAGTTGCCGCAGAGTATTGCCGACTCGCCGAACCTCTATGAGCTTAGGTTGTTCGGGAACAAACTCAGCGGGAAATTGCCGGACAGTTTAGGGAAGAATGCTCCTCTGAGGTGGCTTGACGTTTCCACCAACCGGTTCTCCGGTGGGATTCCGGCGAGTCTCTGCGAGCACGGCGAGTTGGAGGAAATGTTGATACTGGATAACGAGTTCTCCGGGGAGATTCCGGCGAGTTTGGGCGCGTGTCGGAGCTTGTCACGAGTGAGGTTGGGTACGAACCGTCTGTCCGGCGAGGTTCCCGCGGCTATGTGGGGTCTTCCACATGTATACTTGCTTGAACTAATGGATAACTTGTTTAGTGGCTCCATCGCGAGGACCATTGGTGGGGCGAGGAATTTGTCGTCGTTGATTCTGACGAAGAACAATTTCTCCGGTGTGATCCCCGATGAGGTTGGGTGGTTGGAGAATCTTCTGGAGATTTCCGGTGGTGAGAACAGGTTCAGTGGGTCGTTGCCTGGGAGTATTGTGAATCTTCGGCAGCTTGGGACTCTTGATCTCCACAACAATATGTTCTCTGGGGAGCTTCCCAAGGGGATTCAATCGTGGAAGAAGCTCAATGACTTGAATTTGGCTAATAATGAAATTGGTGGGAAGATTCCTGATGAAATTGGAAGTTTGGCAGTCTTGAATTTTCTTGATCTTTCCAACAATCAATTTTCTGGGAATGTCCCTCTGGGGTTGCAGAATTTGAAGCTCAATCAGCTCAATTTGTCTTTCAATAGGCTTTCTGGAAAGCTTCCTCCACAGCTGGCCAAGGATATGTACAGGGCTAGTTTTATTGGTAATCCTGGCTTGTGTGGGGATTTCAAAGGTTTATGTGATGGCAATGATCGGGATAAGAATAAGGGTTTTGTGTGGATTCTGCGAGCAATTTTTATAGTTGCCACTTTGGTGTTTGTCATCGGTGTCGTCTGGTTTTACTTCAGGTACAGGAATTTCAAGAATGCTGGGAGATCTGTTGATAAATCAAAGTGGACTTTGATGTCGTTTCACAAACTGGGTTTCAGCGAAGATGAGATCTTAAATTGCCTCGATGAAGATAATGTGATAGGAAGTGGGTCTTCCGGGAAGGTTTACAAGGTTGTGCTAACCAGTGGGGAAGTGGTGGCTGTGAAGAAGATATGGAGTGGGGTCAGGAAGGAAATAGATGGTGGAGATGTGGAGAGGGCTCAGTTTCATCAAGACAGTGCTTTTGACGCAGAGGTTGAAACTTTGGGCAAAATTAGGCACAAGAACATTGTCAAGCTGTGGTGTTGCTGCACGACAAGGGATTGCAAGCTATTGGTTTATGAGTATATGCCGAATGGTAGTCTGGGTGATTTGCTGCATAGCAATAAAGGAGGGTTGTTGGATTGGCCAAATAGGTATAAGATAGCTGTTGATGCTGCAGAAGGCCTCTCTTATCTCCATCACGACTGCGTTCCTTCAATTGTCCATAGAGATGTGAAATCTAATAACATCTTGCTGGATGGGGACTTTAGTGCAAGGGTGGCAGATTTTGGAGTGGCTAAGGTAGTTGATGCCACCGGGAAAGGAACTAAATCCATGTCTGTCATAGCTGGGTCTTGTGGGTACATTGCACCAGGTTAGCGAAATTTCATGTCATTTATTTATAGTTTTTCTTCACGTTCAATCACATTTTGATAAATATGAGACACATTAAGTAAGGTGCTAGTTGTGCTTAACACACATAATCACTGCTTTATTATAGATAATTTGAGAAACCTTTACGTCTAAAGCTAATCGTCTATAGGTTTATGCAGAAGATTAGTGCAGGATAATCCTTTCGTGCCCATAGGAAGAATGTGAATGATTATACCAATGTTTACCCATAAATTATGCTTTGTATCAAATGGTTTCTTACTAGCTGCATTTCACTATTTTATCTTTTGCAATAATGGAGCGAAACTGAAATTATTCTTTCCTTCTGCAGAATATGCATACACACTGAGAGTGAATGAGAAGAGTGACATATATAGTTTTGGTGTTGTCGTACTTGAGTTGGTTACTGGAAGGAGGCCCATTGACCCTGAATTTGGGGAAAAAGACCTAGTTATGTGGGCGTGCACCACCTTGGATCAGAAGGGCGTGGACCATGTGATTGACTCGAGGCTTGATTCTTGTTTCAAAGAAGAAATTTGCAAGGTTCTCAACATTGGCCTCATGTGCACCAGTCCTCTTCCAATCAACCGGCCTGCAATGAGAAGAGTGGTGAAGATGTTACAAGAGGTGAGCACAGAGAACCAAACGAAAGCAACCAAGAAAGATGGAAAGTTGTCCCCTTATTACTATGACAATGGGTCAGATCATGGAAGTGTTGCTTAGTTGAAGTTCTTGCAAGGGTTGGATAGTTTGATACTTTAGTGAGGGAGGGGAAAAGCTCTAATATTTTCTTTAACTTAGCAGAGCCAAATTCCCCCATCTGTTTTTTCATCCGTGGTTTGCTTTACAAAGTTGGCTAAAAGAAAGGGGAGAGAAATTTTTTTAGGGGTTGAAAATAGAGTGAAGTTCAAGTTTTTGCCCTCTGAATGAAGTTGGTCGACATCAAGGCGCGTCCCTACCAAATTTAAATTGGTGTCTGCATTAATGGCTCTTGTATATTCAGAAACGATATTCTCACTGTTAAAAATTAGAATAGATGTGACCGGTCTCTGGAATGGGCAGGTGAATGTTTGAATTGTAAAATCAGTAGTAGTGGCTTCTAAATTGTAAAAGAAAATCACCCCTATAGTAATTTCAGTTAACTTCAATCACGTGATAGAAAAATTCACCACATGGGGCGAATCTGTATCTAAATCATTCTTAAATGCTTGTAATTCTCTGGACGTTCCCGCTTAAATGCTTTGACTCTTGTCCACATAAAAATTTACTTCTCACAGTGGTCTCAGGTATGTGCTGGGAACAGCTATGGGAGTTGAGTTAATGTGGTGGTTAGACAGGCCTTGTCCTTCGTGGGCCATCTTGTTTAATTGCAGGTTCCATCAATTCGTCATGCCTACTAGTGGTACCTATTTCTATAGTGAGATAAATGATGATTGGCTATCTCCGTAACATAAGAGTACCTGTTTGTATAATGATCAGTGCATTGCAGTAGTGATATTTTTACTGAATTCAGCATTGAGTACACTCTTTGTAAAGTAATGCACTAACCTGGAGTGAGATACGACGACACTGTATTACTGGTTTTCACACCTTTCTGATTATGCATTTCCATTGTATGCAGGCGTTTTCTTTGCTTTCTGCTTTGACTGGTAGTTGCTGCCAAATGCATCACGATTCACACACCAGTTTTTATGGCTCATTTAGTTCAGTGGCTTCTTGAATGGGTGCTAAATGCCAAGGCTATTCATGAGTCATAAATGGTTCGCCACGGAGTAATGCACCTATACAACCAAGTACAGAGCAAACAAGGTTCTTGTGAGTTTATTGGGCAGTAACCTTTTGCTCTTTCATAAATTCTTGGATTTATGGTATTCATTAATTTTTTTTTCTCTTTTTATTTCTTGATAAATTTTTATTTCTGATTTAGGCTCTACCATTCATTTATTTTTTTGACCTATGTTAAGTGATGACATGGAGAAATTAATGATCAAGTACAACTAATGTGTAGATATTTATTCTCTTTAAGTTTTACTGTTGAATAAGGAAGATGGAACGAAATAAGAAATGCATCTTGCTAATTAAATTTTACTCTTTTAAATAAAATAATTAAAAAGAATATACATGACATCCTACTTAAACATTGACGAGCATCTTGTCATTTAAAGTTACCAATAAACTATAGGAATTAAAATATATAAAAAATTACAAGCATCAAAAGAGAAAAAACTTTATCATAGATAAAAATTAAAATATAAAAATTATACACGAAATGAGGAAGTTATTTAAGTCATTATATGATGATTTTTTATTCTTTTTTTAAAATGCTTAGATGTTTTTTATGGCCATTTATACGTCCATTCCGGTGGTGTATTCTAAACACGAAAACAAATTTCTTTATAAAATTTTCTTTGGACAACTTCGCTTCACGAACTTAGGACATGCAAATATATTTTCTAAATGTTTAAATAAGTTTTTATTTGTTAATTAAGTTTACTATGTTTGCGTTGGTTTCTTCATATATATATATATATATATATATATATATATATATATATATATATATATATATATATATATATTCTTATTAAATTTCGTTATTATAATAATTATTTGATAGTTAATTTATCACATCTGCATAATGTTGATGTGTTTGTCGATTTTTTTTCTTAAAATAATTTTATGATCTTGATGAATTTATTAATTTTGTGTTTAATTTTTGATAATATGTTTTGTATTTAATTTTTATTGTTAAATTTTATTATCTGAGAGTTGATTTTTTTTTTAAGATAAAACTGTCCATTTTTTTTATCAAGTGCCTAAATTCTAACATTTATATTTATCAGTTTACACAGACATTCAACACTCTAACAAATCATTTCTGTACTCATTTTTTCGCGAAACATACTATGTGACTGCCAAATTTCGTACACTTAATGAACAATTTTTTTTTGGGTTTAGTACTTCATAAACAATTTCCCACATCATTATCGGCAACATAAATGTTTTAAAATTAAAAACATTGAATAAATTTTAATAAATGTACAAAATAACGAACAATATGATAAATAAGCTGAAGAAAAATTGTTTACGAAAATTTGTCCTGCGTGTTAATCTCATATAATGATATAAATAATGAAACATCTAAGCTAAATTATATTGTATTTTAACTTTTTTAATGTTTAATTTAAATAAATAACTTTTTTATTTATTTTAAAATAAATATAATTCAAACACATGTAATAAAACATTATATTTCATGTTTTAAAAAAAATAAAATGTATCCATTAAATTATAAGTTGAGTCATTTACGAAAATATGACTTTACTTGAAAAAAATTAAAATATAATATAAAACAACTTTTGTTTTCGTTATTTAAAAAAAGAGAGTCCTACTTATTATTATTTCTTTAAATTAAGCAGTTTTTTGATGTACAGCTTTGTCTATCAAGATAGTTTTCTAAAAACTTGGCTATTAACGTTATTATGAAAACAAATTACACCATTTTCGTAAATTACCCAATTTTGAAAATAAATACTACTTATGATTATAACGTCATCGGTGATGAGTGTTCCGCTCTTCTATGAAACAACAAACCCTCCAATTATTTTGTTCATAGATTGAGAATCTTCACGCGTAAATTTGTATGAGTTTAACAGGTAAATTTTGGTGATATAATTAATGGGTCTCTGTGTGTGTTATAGGTGATAGGGGTGTCCATATATGATTATTTTTTAGAGGTTTAGATGATTTGGTCAATTATTTTCAAACCTTGTACGTAAAATGTGTGTTTTGAATACAAATTATTTACGAAAGATTTTAATCCAATCACCTCAGACACAGAACCAATAAAGAACTAATAAATGAATTATTAGTGGTAGTTCCAGCATACAAGGGAAAGAAAGAAATAAAATCCATAATTTAACTTTTATTTCTCTCAAATCTCCACCAAAAAATTCATCATATCTCTTCTCTCTGTTTCTCTCCTTCCCTAACTTTTAAGACAATGTCATAATTTTATTTCCATTGCGTTTAGTTGAAGGGAAAGGGATATAAGAAAATATCTTTATTTTTATTTTACTTATATTTAGTAACAATTCTTTTTAAAATCCCCTTCCAATATTAAAAAAAAAAAGTGAAGAGAAATTTTTTGTCGTTTTTTTAAATCAGTCTAACTAAATTATCCTAAAATGTTATTTTAATTCTCATCCTCTACCATGATATTAATAAAGACAAAATAATATAATGCATTCTAACTACAAAGTATCACAACATTATTCTGGCCGCTATTCCTAATTCTGCAATCTCAACAAAACTCTAATAGAAAGTGTTATCTTAAATGTGAATGTCAAAGTGTTCAGTTGTTTACTTTCAGCATAATATATAGAACTACATAAAGACAATGTCCAAACATAAAATTCTCACGGAATAGGAGTGAGAAAATAAAGCAATACTGACACAGAACTCTTACCACTTTGTTGAAGCAATGTAAATATATTAAGAAACTTGATCCCTCTAAATATTTGTAAAGAATATGAAGAAGCACAAAATAGTCATCGATGATTACCAATCTGCAAAGGAGAGGTAGGCTTCAGCAGGAAGGTATGAATAATAGGCACACTGTATTATATCCAACAAAAACAATCTCCTGCATGAGGCTCAAGTTGAAAGGTGATACAAAATTGTGATTGACATGATAGCACTCTTCATGAGACACATTTAACTCTTGCAAATGTCAAATAGCCTGTGTGACCTCGAGCTTCACCACAAGGTCTAGCCATGACAGAAGAAATAGAAGGACAGCTGCCGAGTACATAGCTTCCATCAGAGCATTGTCTCCTCTTGCTAGGAAGAGAACCATTAGAATCATTACCATCCTCACGTGAGCTTTGCATTTTCTCTTGCCGAACTTCATACGTGCGTAACAGTATCTCAAATGTCCTTATATCTTTGTACATGGGCAAAATTTTACATGGGTATTCTATCAGTATAATGCAAGAACACAAAGATAATGAAGTTAAGAAAATATAGAAGGGGACAGAAGAAAAATGCAAAACTACCTGTGAAATGGGTTCGGAGTGTTTCACATGTTCGTTGTACTTGTTCAATACAAGGAGAGAAAGAGCAGAATGTGCCATCATTTCTTAACACTTTTGCCGCTGAAGGGATGGCAAGCCAAGGTTGAGGTAGATCCAGAAATACAGAGTCAGCCATGCCTGAAAAATCATCAGGGAATCCTTCACCCTGAATGTCCCTAACTTTCACAGTGACTAAGCTGCTTAGACCTGTTCTCTCAAAATCAGCCCTACAAGGATGATAACATTAAGTCAATATATTTCATAGAAATTATTCAACATTCTACGCAACCTTGTGAATAAAAAAAGATTACTTTATAGAGCAAAATTATAGATTGGTTTCTAGATAGACATCCTAGAAAGCTATATCCTGCTAACAGATACCATTATTTGATATAAGAACATAGCAGGGTAGTAACAGAAGATAGCATTTTGAATTACGAACTGCAGAGGATCTGATCACTGAATATCTTGCCCACAGTTTTGTAAGAAAAACAAAACCACAGTACAGAGCTAATAAAACAAATTTAACTTTCATCCAGAGAAGTGATAAATCAACACTATTATTCCTTTTAAACATTCCATCAACAACTCCTTTTAATAATAAAATAATAATAAACATGAAAATATAAACTTTTATAAAATTAATAAAACAGTTGTTGTTAGGTTGTTTAGACTACGGGAGTTATCAATCTACCATTTCTCTTTCAATCATGGCCAAAGTAATGCTTTAATTGCTATCATCTAATTATAAATTATCTCACCACTTTGGATGATAGTGGAAAGTCCATCCATAGTAAACTAGAAGAAGCACGCGAAAGCAAGATACAAATATCCTAGTACCAAACATCATATTATGTCAATGTCTATAGGGAAACACACTATTTCTTCCTTATTTCTTACCTAGCTGATTCAGCCCTTTGTTCATGGAAATCAAAGGTATTGACGTGTCCTGAAGGAGCAACTGCCCTTGCAAGTGAAGTAGTCAAAGATCCACTACCAGTTCCAGATTCAAGAACCACGCAACCAGGAACAACCTCCAAGTACATGATAACAAAACTAATATCCGCAATATAGAGAATCTGAGTCCTGTGGTTTAATACCATAGTCCACAATTCTGGTGTGGGAGCTAACAAGTGCACAAAACCACCCTTACTGCTAAATACTTTAGACCCAAACGGTTTTCCTATCCAATCTGAATGTTTAAAAACACCAAAACGATTCTGCAGGACTGAACCCTCACACACGGTTACAGCCTTCATGCTGTCATGCTTTTCATAAACAATAACCAAATCTCCATCACTAATTAATCGGTTAAACGATAACATTTTTGCAGGATGACAGGCCAACATCTTAGAAGTCTCCGAGTCTTTTAAGTATTTCAGCTCAATCAAAAGAAACAATTACCTGATAACCCAAAAAGAGAGCAAGCAATAACATATGTGATGTACAGTGGAAGTATAGCATTCAAATCAATAGTGTAATGACAACATTAATTACAAACTTATGCATTCTATTAGCCCCGAAATAATGCAGAAAAGGGAAACTGGGGCACAAAATTGAATAAGTAAAAGACAACTATGAAAACTTGATCTACCCTGAATAATAATAATAACAAAACTCTTCGTTTTATATCATGGCCCAACCGTAACTTTGTTGCTATATAATGATAGTGTGATATGTGTTCTAGCACAAAGTCTAATTTTTTTTTTCTTCCAAACATAACTTTTGACATACGTAATTAGGATAAAAGAAGAAGCAAAATATTAGTCATGAAAATTGCGACGCATTGTTTGGCATGTAGCAATTATAAACGGCCAGAATGAATAGGGGCTGAAAACGAACCAGATGTTCGAGTTGAGGAAGCTTTTAATCTATGTTCGGAAAGTAGAATTCTTGTGCTTCCTTCTTAGTGGGTTTTACAGGCTGAAGATTGGGTACGCCTCCGATCAGAGTTTCGAACAGATAACGACACTGAGTAAAACGAAGGATTTTAACCTAAGAAACTAATTACCAATACATTAAAACCTATTGGTGTTCAAAGAAAAGATAAACCCCGTCCAAGTTTCAAATTAAGCAGGCTAGAATCGATTTGGTCGAATAGATCATTTTTAGTTTAAATTCAAACCAAACAAACAGATATTAATTTAGTTCTTGATTTATTTATTTATTTATTAAATATATTCTTTTAGTTCCTCGCCTTTTTAATATTTCTTTTATTTTACTTCATAAAAATATTCGACCAGTGATAATTATTCATAATAATAATAATCATTAATTAATAACATGATAATCATATTGATTTCATGTAAATTACGAATTTAAGATGAGAATTAAATGTAAATTTTAGAGTAAATTTTGTTATATTTTTTTCACTACAAAATTCACTATTAATCTTCTTATATATTTGTTGTTTGGTTTTGATTTCTCAATAATTTCTTAACCAGTTTTAACTTTTTAATAATTTTTTTATTTCAATATTTCAATCTTTATTTGTTATTATTTTTTAGTTATCAAACTATATCTAAATTTATGGATCAACCAAGCTTACCATGTTTAATTAAAAAAAAACTGATTTTTTTTTATATAATTGACTATAAAATGATAATTTTTTAATAATTGGAACGGTGATACTAAATGATTTACTAATCTTCCTAAAATAATAACATTTTCACTATTTTTTAATTATAATAATAAATAGTTGGACACTTTATTTTAAAATTTATTAAGTTGAATTTTATTGAATGTGGAAAAAAGAGGTGGATATGAAGAAAATGAAAATATAGATAATAAAAAATTATTGTATGAGGATGAAATATTTTATAAAAAATATAATGGTGTTATTTATAAATTCTTACTTTTTATTATCATAACACATTTAAATATATAATAATATTTTCTTTAGACCTAACAAATTTAATAAAATATATTTTTTTCAAAAAATGTAAGGTAAATTCAAGGTTTAAATCTCTAATTTATAAGGAGTATATTAAATATTTTTTTAATAAAATATATAGTTAATTGAGATAAATATAATAAATTTGTTAAAAATAGACAAATATTTATGCTATTTATACATATATATTCTTCTTTCCTGTATAACACACATCCAATAATTTGATTCAATGTCTTTATACCATTTATTGGTTTAAATAGGTTTAATACATCGATTTTGTACCAATTTGATGGATTCTCAACTATTTAAAAAAAATCCAGTTTTATATAACAACAGAACATCCCTTAACACATGATATCTACAAGTGGTGGTGGCTGATGATGTTCCATCAATCAGTGGTTCCGTGTATCGCCACATGTTGCACACTAGAGATCCATCCTTCAACTTTGATTATGCATATATCATCTACTTATTATCGAAGATGTTGGGTTTTTGGTTTCCAAGATAGACCATGATGTGATGGCAGCAACTGGTGCAATACTAATACTATTATCATTACTACCACTTTATCACTTATTTCTTTCTCATGAGCACACTCCATATCCTTCCACCAAATCCAGCAAGCAACCAGATTCTCAGTTGTCTGATTACAAAAACAATAAAAGGTGAAGAAGAAGCATCATGAGAGATTCCTTATATCACAGGCCATTAATTAGTGGGCCTTCTCAGGGCTACGAGCCAAGCCCAACATGATGATGAAGAGACCATGGGCCCCAACGTAGGTTTCTCATGCATATTGTGGCTTCCATTATTAGTGGCCTGTAGACTTATAGCTATGTTTATGGCGGGAATTTGCTTGGTTTAGGCCTTTCTAGATTCCACTGCAGTTTTCGATGTTATGTTCTCTGCTCCTTCAGTTTATAGGATTCGTCCTCTTATTATTCTTATTCTATCATGATCACTTTCTTTCAATTATGCATTTTAAATAAGACTCTTCTTTTGTTGTTATTTTATTATTATTATTTCTTTCAATTATTACTACTGTTCAATTTGAATGAGTGTTCAGATATTTGATTTCAATACCATTTTCTTTTGTAGTATATAATATGTATCCATATTCTTGAAAGTGAAATGTTTTTTTTAATATTAACATTTTGTATTCTCTTTTTCAAATATTAATTGCTTATAGCCATAAGTAAATTTATGTAAGATATAATTTTATAATTCAAATGTATATATATTTTTAAAATAATAATTTCTTATACTATTTTATTTCATCGAAAATAAAACACGTCACTTCTTTCTCTATTTTTTAATTTAAAATGCTGAGTTTCAAATAAAAATACTATTCTAATGTTTTTAAGTTAACAGTTTTTAAAAAATTGTACTAAATTTAAATGTATTCACCAAGGTTAAATACTTACCAATATAAAATAATATTTTTTCAAAATTCCTTATCCAACTACCAAATTAGCGGACATTTGTTGATTTTTTTTTATCTTTTTGTGGAAAAAAGATATTTCTCGTAAGAACATTTTTAATAAGATTGAAGTTATTTAAAAATTATCATTTTTAAAAATGGGATGGAATAGATCTGTACAAATGATTTTCCGGGTACAGAAACCTATTTTCAAATACTCGAATTTTAATTAAATTAAAATAGTGTGACAAAATCAATAAAATACAAAAATCAATTAAATTTAAATCATTTTGATAAAAAAATTATATAAAAAATTTTAATATTTTTATAAAAATATAATATATTTTAATTTTTTATTTCATATTAATATATTAATTTTAAATAATAATTATTTTATTATATTTTAATTTAATTTTAATAATTATTCATCTTATATTTTTAATATATTTTATATTTTTAATTTTAATTATAATTTATAATGTTATAATTAAAAGTATTACACAACCCATGGATTGTCCCACCAACATTACTCATTATGTGTACACAAACCATTGTAAGATAAAAATAACATTTAAGTGGTCGTAACCAAATGCTTTTAGACTAGTAGTAGTTAGTATTTCATAATTTAAAATGTCATGGTGCTCCTTGTCCACCTCACCTCAAACAAAGAATCCATTATAAGTGGATGTATCAAATAAATATAAAAAATTAATTTATAAAAACTCTCTTATATAAGTTATTTCAAATTTTTTTCTTAATTTGTATATAAGTTTATTTTATCGTCTATTTTCTAAAACTTATAAACTCTTTTAGTCCAAGTAATATTCAAAGTATATTCTCGAATAAACAAGATTAAATTATTTATACATTACACTTTGAAGGACTTTTATAATGTTATTTTTTGTTTTATCTGTCTGTTTTTTATTAACTATGTTATCTCATATTTTCCCCTTTCTTAATTAAAAATTTACACAATTTTATATGTTAAAGAGATACAATTTATTTGTGCATAATATGAGAGGTAGAGTTGCCAGCTATCAACTACCACAACTAATCTTACCTATCTATCCATCCACCCATTTTGTCAAGGGTATGCTTTTTAACTGACCTTCCAACTGTTTGATATCTCTCCATCCGAGTCACAAGTATATAAGCTTCTTTCCACATACATCTCTTTCTCAAACCCTCCAATCTCACCTTCTTCCTTCCACTCTATTCCTCCAATAACCCATCACTACCAAAACCTAATCGTGTTTATACAAAAATCACAATCACAAGCCAAAGCCATATCGATCCTACCAAGCCGTTCAAAACATCCATCACAACACTAAAAATGAACCATGTTGAGCACATCACTTATGACATGGTCATGATCACTCTATCCATATCTCTCATCGTTCTTGGCATCATCCTCTTCCTTGCTTGCAAGAAGAAACCCGTTGAATCTGAAGAAACACTTCCCGTTAAGCTGTGTGCTCGTGCATACCCTTTGATGGAAGTTGATGCTGTCACCGATGGCTTCAATCATAGGAGAATCATTGGCCAGGGTCGCTTAGGAACTGTGTATGCAGGGACGCTAGAGAAAGAAGAGCTTGTAGCTGTTAAGAGGATTCACCCCGTTCTTGTGTTGAGCAATGCAGGGTTTGGTTTCTCATCCGTGTTGAAATGGCTGTCCTTGGCTCAACACCCCAACATAGTTCCAATCATAGGTTTCTCAGAAGCACCGGGTGAAAGAGTTATTTTGATGGAGTTTGTGCACATGGCAAGCTTGGACTTCTACTTGCATCAAAACCAAGACGGGGCTTCGCTTTTGGATTGGAACAAGAGGTTCAGGATTGCAGCTGGAGCAGCTAGAGGGCTTCAATACTTGCATGAAGTGGTGGCACCAAACATTATACATGGGTGTGTTAAGTCCTCTAATATTCTCATTGATGTCAACTTCTGTGCCAGGATTTGTGATTATGGGCTTAACTTTTTGGCGCCTGTGGAAAAGAGAGGGCTAGTGGGGTATGTGGATGATGAGTATTGGAGTGAAAGGAGGGGTGGTGCAGCTACCAAGGAGAGTGATGTTTATGGGTTAGGGGTGGTCCTGTTGGAGCTTTTAACTGGGAAAGGGTGTGAGGGAGGATTGTTGGTGAAGTGGGCATTGCCTTTGATCAAAGAAACAAGTTTTAGTGAACTTTTGGATCCTAGGTTGGTGATTCCTTCTGACATGAAGCCTCTGGTTAGATTAGCCAAAGTAGCCTCAGCATGTGTAGGTAACTCACGGAAATGTAGGCCTTCGGTGGCTCAAGTGGCAACCATTTTGAACAATTTAGAAACTGAAGTGTGCCTCTCATCCCCCACGATGATGTAGTCAAATTGATAGCAATTTGCCTTCAATTTTGTACCAAAAAATTGGTAATTGGTGAGAGAATTGATGGAATTTTGACGAGGGAGGGCCTTATCCCAAACGCTGTGAGATAATTTCTGGTGGGGAATTTTGAAATAGAAAGGTAGGACGGTGCCGTTGTCCTTACGGCGGTGAATTTCTATCTCTGATCTGCTTCTGTGTACCATCGGGATCCTTTGTTCATGAAAGTGACATTTTTTATTTTATATCTTTTTTTAAGTCTTTGTTTCCACCAACTTTTAATGTGTGTATATAATATATGTACCTATATTTTCCAGCTTCTAATTAGGTAGTCATATGCAACATTGTAGACTTTGATAACTTCATGTCGGTGCTGTTTTTTAGTTTACGGACAAAAAAAAGCATGATAATAGGTAACACATGTTGACTTATAAAAATTAAAACGATAAAAAAATAAATCAATTTTCAAACATCTTTTTAATATTTGATACTTTTATTTTTATCACATAATCTAAAAAAACAAACTTATTGAAGAGATTTAAACTCATATATAATGTTGATTTTTCCTAGTTAAGAAAATACAGTGATTGCTAAAACTGAAACACTTAACTTTTGAGGCATATAAATAGAGTGTTTAAGGAAGGTGCTATTACACTTGTTCTCATTTCATAGAATAAAAGAAAAAGAAAAAGGAAATACTCATCCCCAAACTTTTATCAATCGGAGTGAGAATTTGTATATTCATCAATGCATTTTGTTGGTACCTCATACCAGGCATGCCTCAACCAATTTCTCTCACATTTATTAAACAAAAATAAATTGAGTTGTGACTGCAGAATTACAGAGATATAAGCGGAATATCATTTTTTATTTTTAAAAATTAATATATCTTTTACGGCGAGTCTGGGTATAATTTAATCCAAATCGAAAAATCTGCCACTCACTTAAACCTCTTTGTACAAATAAACAAAAAATATATCTATTATAATTGTTAAATAAGGATTTCTGTACCCTAAAAAATTGAAAAAAAGAGAGTAGAAATTTAAAATATAATTAGCAGGTTGTTTTCCATATGCTTCTGCTCGTCTAATCCAACTATCTGGGCCCAAGGTTAAAACGATACCCAAGGTTTTGGGCTTTAGCTATTTTTTTGGCCCAATTTGGACGATCCAGTGACTCAAATTTAACTATTTTAAGCAGTGAAAATCTACCCTTGGGTTGAGACACTTTTGAGATATTAGTGATTATTTATTCATAGGTTAAGTATATCTGTACTCTTTCCCATTAAAATGGATTTCTGTTTTTTAGTTTCTAAATAAATATTGACCAATTATTATTTTTAAATGATATATGATATTTTTTATACTATTAATGTTATTTTCATAAAAAAAAAGCTATTTAATATGCGTGCTCTTCATTTGACAAACGTAAATATTTTTTTGAAAATGGTTTTGTTCTGTAATTATTTGTTTTTAGTCACTCAAGATATAGTTTGACCGATTTGATTTCTTTATTTTTTTACTTTATCCATAAAAAATAATAATTAATTGGTTATTACTTTTACGTAATTCATATTATTGTTTTACACTTATAATTCAGGAATAAAATGTGAGTTTTTTTAGTTTGATATGGTGAAACCATGACATAAGTGGATTTGGGCTAAGTTAGTCTGATTGGGTTCAATCGAGCTATATTTTTTTTAAAAGAAATTAGGAGAACTTTTCACATTAATTTTCATTTTTATTTTTAAAATAGATTAAAAATATAATTTTAATTATTTTTATTTTTGATCAGATTTTTATTTTATTTTTAAATTAATTCGATTTGAAATCTAGTTTAAAGTCTTATAACTTCAAATAAAGTAAAAATATTATAGTAAAGTTGTCCAGATATAACATTTTTAATTTCAGGGGTAATGTCCTCCCACCCACACCTAATTGATCATAGTATCTTCATGAAAAAATAAATAAAAAAATTGCTTAAATGTTTTACAGACACTAATATTACCTTAATCACATTATCAGAACCAAAATTCAAATTTTCTTCTAGTTCATTCCATGAACATATTCTTTCCTAGAGTCCCGAAATGAAAGTCAACGTAGGAAAACAAAATAAAGAATAAAAAGTCTTCATGAATGCAATAAATTAAGCATATAAAGAAAAAATGAATGATAAACCTAACGTTCAAATAAATGCAAACAACCCAATACAATGAAGGACACATTATGTGTCAAATAGTGTACAACTCTAGTAAATTAACTTCATCTAAGTATAAGTATTAAGTTTGCTTTTGATTTCTCATATATTTTTTTATTTATTTATAAGTTTGAAAGTTAAATAAAAAATACACGCATATATAAGATTTACTAGCTTTATTCATTTTTTTAGCAAAAATGCTATGCAAGTTACAACTTTATTACATGTTAAAAATATTGAAATTATAATTTTCTCAAATATTATACTCTTTCAAAAATAAATGGATAAGTTAACATAAATTCATTAACTTTATCAATTATAACAAACAATACGTGTTGCTGGACAATAATTGCTCCAATCAGATAATAACACAATGACTTTGATTTTTTTTTTTCGAAAATTTTACGCACTTTCAATTTCTGATTATTCATTAAACTGAAACAACTTTACACAAGTGGATCCACCTATGACTGTTTAAAATACATTCTCTCTCTCTCTCTATCTATCTATAATAGATAAACATGTTCATATAAATAGGTTTATATGATTGTTTTTCTTAATATTTTTATTTTAAATTATTTTCTTTAAGAAAATAAAATACAAGTAAGGATTTATTGAGCATCCTGTTAGAAATCTGCATTTCACATCATTTCCCATATTTTAATAAATATAGAAACCATTTCTTACTTAAAAGTTGTAAAAAAGTCATTGTTTATAGTTCTAGTAGCAAATGTAGCTTTTTCTTAAATAATTCAATTAACTTAATTGAGATCAGTTGTTGCAAGTATTTTGATTTAAAATTAATATTCATTATTCAAGTATTCGGATTTAAAATTAATTTTCATTATTCAAGTACACTTAGCTGATGATGAGAAAATGACACCGATAAAGAAAAATTAGAGAGATATTTTATTTCAAGACTACATATAAACTAGTTGAAGCAGAGAAGAATAAAATAGTTGTTTGACTTAAATTATATTATTTAATAATTTAATTTTAAAATTTTATTAAGAGTTTATGTTATATATCTTTATTATTTAAGTATTATGTGTGAATGAGAAATTAATTTATACTATATCATTTATATTTTAAGTAATTTATCTTTGATCTTATTTTAATAAATTTGTTTCAATATTTTAAATATCTTATTTGCTTTATTTTATTTATATTTTTAATTAATTAATAAAATAACTATAAAAAAACTAAAAAAATTACTATATTACATAATATTCTTCTAATAAAAAATTATTTTAAACAATTAATATTTTCCTCAAATATTTTACCAAACAACTCCCTTACTTTTTTTTTTTTTTTAAAGAAACCCAAAGCAACGGACTAAAACGAGACTGAAGGAAGAACCGTATTGACATCCGTATTCCCAATCCCTTAAGCGTATACTATACGGTATTCTGCGGAAAAATCGTCTTAAAAAAAAAACAACAAAAAAAGAAGCTTAACGCCTAAGTCTCTCTTGTGTTGCGTGGCTTCTCGGAGAAGCTGAGGAAGACGTGTCGGCGGATGCCAAGTAGAAAATTATAACTAACAAATGGCGTGGGTGCTCTGTGCCCACGTCTATTCTTCCTTCTTTGAAGTCAACATCTACAACAAATCATATAATTCCAAATCAATTTTTACTTCAATGCAAATTGACATAAGCATTCCTTCCCCTGCCCTCTACTGTACCATATCATAATCTCTTCTCCAATCCAAAAATAATTCCATGACCGTTGCATGTCTTCACACTATCAACTCTAATAACATCCCTCATCTCTATTCAGGATAATCTTTGAAATAACTTCAATGATATGCATGCATGATTCATTTTGTATTTCTTTAATCTCTTTTTTATCATCATCTTTAAGGCAATGCTTCACATGTTTTGCATCAAACTTTTAACACATTTTCGCTGTGTCGACTAGACAATATACGAGGAATAATAGTGCGCTATGCGTGTGAACAAGAATTAAAAGTGGAGCGAGAGAGATTGACACTGTTAAATGTGAAATCAATGCACAACATAGATTTCATTAATCGGAATGTGCAACAAATTTTACTTAGCAGACAAAATAATAATAATAATAATAATAATAATAATAATAAAAAAGAACGTTCTATTCATCAACATTCTTTACGAGGTCGTATATACATGTCGGATGTGTATGAAACTTTACATATCTTTTACTGCACTCAATTTAAATTTGACACTGCAGCTAATGAAGTTCCAACACGCGCGCAAACACATACACGTTCTAGAGTGGTGAAACGTCTTAAGAAGAATCGGGTACGCACCTCTTTCCCACCATCTTTTTACCTCTCCATACATTCCATACACACATCTTACATCTTTGGATAAGCTTCTTCGTAAGATCTACAAAAATGTTAAAATTAATTTATTCATATATAAACTAAAAACTTTTATAAATTAATTTATGAAGAAACTAATTTTAACTTCTTAAAAAATTATTTATTACTTTCAAAAAATTCTTATAAAAATTTTAACTTCTTACCCCTTTTTTGTTAGTTTTAATATTCATGTCTAATGAGATACACTTTAAAATTAGTTACTTTGAACCTCCTTAAAAAGACCAGTTAGCTAGGCCGTAATTATTCCATGGAACAAGCGTATGTACGACTACGAGAGCGTAGCCAAACGTGGTCTCCAAGCAAACTTTTCCCTATAACTTAAACCAACCCTTTATCGCTCACCTTTTATTACAAAGCTCTAAATCCTCTCTCTCTCTCTCTCTCTCTCTCTCTCTCTGAACAGGAGCCAACCAGTTAGGGAATCAAACATAGTTCAATAATTGGATCTTAACCGGTATTTAGAAGAAGCTAAAGTGGAAACCTGGTACGGTTAAATTCTCTCTCTTTCAACAGCTATAGAAGTTGATTCAGAATAAACGAGTCCCAAGAGACAAGCTAAGAGCTTTACCTTTCTTAACCCCTTTTCATCTCTATTTTTTTTTTTTTTTTGGTTAGGGAGTTGATATTGTAGGAGGGTTGGGAAGAAGATTAAAAGGGTTTTGCTTTGAGATATATGTGCACGTGCAAAGAAAATTATCACAAAGATGACATGGTGCAGTAACTCTGATGAGGAGAGGAGGATTGAATCAATCACGCCAACTATGAGCCTCACTCCAACCACTGATGTTAACATAAAACTCACCGAAGAAATTCGAACTGTAACATGCGCCTCGTGCGGCCATAACATCGAATTCAAAGATCAGGTACTTTTAAACTTAAAATAAAGGTTTCTAATTCTAGTCCTTAATATGCTTCCTTAACCTATATATATGTTTCTTCTTTCATCTTTTAAATTTTTTTTTTTTTTTGCACCGCTTATAATTACTTTGTATTGTACATGTGATGAACTATTAGGGTGGAATTCATGACTTACCGGCGTTACCAGCTGGAGTGAAATTTGACCCAAGTGACCAAGAAATACTAGAACATTTAGAGGCAAAAGTGGCGTCTGATGCATGCAAGCTTCATCCCCTAATTGATGAGTTCATACCAACGCTTGAAGGCGAGAATGGGATTTGTTCTACACACCCAGAAAAACTACCAGGTGCTTGATGTTTTGCTTTATTTTATATTAATTATTATTTTTTGTCTAATTTGTAGTATACAGTATAGTTAAGTGTTTTGGAATACCTATGTATATATGTTATGGACGCATCAATGAAATTCTCATTTATTGGGAGACACGTCTTGCTGTGCACGATACCACATGCATGAAATTAATTGTTTTAGCAAAGGAATGATTTTCTTTTTCCTTTGAAAAAGATCTCTAATCATAAGGCGGTTGAAAATGACAGCAGAACATTTTATGTTCTCTGTATGAAATCAGATCTAAGACATTATTAGTTCATGTTATAATAATATTTTTTGGGCCTAACATGAGCTTTCTTAACAGTTTTCTTATTTAAATAAGATGTGTTAGAAATTGTGGCATGTGAATGTTGGATAGCCAAAAGTAAAAAAATTAACCAGTTCAAATTGTGTCTTTTTTTATTGTTGTTTTTGCAATTGTAAACGTGGGAAAGAAAACTTTCCGTCTAATCCTTCTGTGTCGTTCTTAAGATGATATGTTCAAACAAAGAAGCATCTGAGAAACACGCATCTCTTCTGTATAACTAACTTCTTGTTCAAGTATGTTGCAAGAAAGTTCTTAAGTTAGCAATGGCTACCTAACTCAAAAGTGGCATCCTATCTTGCACTAATTAGCATATAGCAAAATATCCAGAAATGTAAATGTAAGCCCTGAATTATTAAAACTTTTATTTTATTTTGTGTCATATTTCAACATACACAAAAAAAGAGGTTGCTGCCTTGTTACTCTATTGAGCTTTCTCAACTTTTTCTTATAAACATTCCCGTTTTTTCTTCTAATTTTCAGTTATGGATTAATCTAATACTTTAACGTAGTTAGATGAGAAAAAACATATAGAAATTTTTTATTAGAAGATACACTATATAGGGGTCTATATGTATTATACCTTCTTATTTTTAAGATATCAAGATATTTCAACCAGAAATCATATAACCTTTTAAACAATTCACTTTTATTAATATAATATTTTATAGAATGATTTAATAAAAATAAAAAGAGGGGTGATATTTTAAAAACCAGAAACTATATCACCTTTCAAACAACTCATTTTTATTAATATAATATTCTATAAAATGATTTAATAAAAATAAAAATAAAGTAAAATTATTATTATAATATTAAAATAGAGTTGTTTACAGAAAGTGATATGAATTTGAGTTTTCACAATATCATTTTCCTGATTTGGGTTCTCAAAGTATCATTTTCCTACTTTAATATTATACACAATTAATATGATTTTCATAACCTTATTTTCAATTCCCATATTCTGAACCTTATATCATTGAATTACTAATATGGTAATGATATAAGACCTTATTATTTCAAACACTTTGTTACCTGTCATTATTTTCTCTATCTATATTTGTTGATCGTATCATAATATATATCAGCTGTAACCTTTATATGTATGTATTTACTATGGGTGTCTATCATTTTCCTTAATTAACATTCATCAATAAATATATTTCATTAATTATTACGCAATTACTCTCTTGTTATTAATCTAGCTGTTCCTTTGAGTAATTCACGGAAGATAATAAAGTGACTAATCTTAATTGATGAAGAATCGCTGACTCATTATCAGTACATATAGAATAAATTATGAATGCATTCGAAAATAACTGTTCATATTTATGTCATTATTTATTTTGCTAGTGTTTCCGTAAGAGGAAAACTTTCTTTCACTATATATGTGTTGTTTAAGCCTGTTTATCCACAAATACAAATATCGCATTACCAAAGATTTCTTTACAATGGGAGGGATGAGAATGTATTGTATGAAACAAATGCAGGAGTTAGCAAAGATGGACAGATCCGCCACTTCTTTCACAGGCCATCAAAGGCATACACAACTGGAACAAGGAAAAGAAGAAAGGTTCACACAGACGAAGAAGGAAGTGAAACAAGATGGCACAAAACGGGAAAAACTAGAGCCGTTTTTGCCGCTGGTGATGCTGTGAAAGGTTTTAAGAAAATACTAGTACTCTACACCAACTACGGGAGGAAAAAGAAGCCGGAGAAGACTAATTGGGTGATGCATCAATACCATCTTGGCAGCAGTGAAGAAGAGAAAGATGGAGAATTAGTTGTTTCAAAGGTCTTCTATCAGACACAACCTAGACAATGTGGTAATAATCCCATTATCATAAAGGATCCGTACGAAAAAATGTTGAATATTGATGCAAGTGGCCACAACAAATCTACATCAATACCTAAAACTTCAACTCTTGTGGATTGCTACAATGTTCCTTACATAAATTATGATCATGTCTTGAGTTATAATAGGGAAAGCTCCCCACAACTAATTACTCCCAACTCTGTTGGTCAAGCTGATGGCTCTTACATTTCCTATGCATTGGATGCAAAGAAACCAAGATTTGAAACTAACACTAGAGCTTCTAGGTAGAGCAGTTAGAACGATTACATAGATGTGTTTGATGTAGGGTTTCCATTACTAGTTCAATGGCATATTTATCATATCAGGAATTCTACGTGTTGGACTAGTAAGTTGGCTTCCTGGTTGAAGTTGAGAAACAAGCAATGCATGTACATATACATATATTTGCAGACTGTAGTTTGATTTTAACTTAGGGTACATATACTTTCATAGAATGTATTTTGTAGATAATAGGGTTACCCTTAATTCACTACGCATCAGTACCATGTCGTATATTCTATTTTTGTCTAGAATTGAATTTTTCACCCTCGATCAATCCTGAATAAATTGCTGTGCTGTTTCATTATTGTATTATACATCTCAGCATTTGCTGGGAAGTTTGTCCTGTAAGTTTTTTCCCTCTTTCCTCTGGTCGTTTATAGAATCGAACCTTCTTTTCTTTCAATGGTGGATGGTGAAATAATGTAAAAGTCGTAGGTTCTTTCTTACTTATTCCGTATTTTTATCATGGAAGATGTTTTATAACTCTTTCTTACATTTATTTTAGCCTTTTTTACCACTAATTATTTACTTATTTTCTTTTCTTCACAAGGAATAAATATTACATGCATGCATGTAATTTATTTACGTACTATAAACTATTTTAAACTAATTACGAGTCACATCTATATAGTCTCAAAAAATGAATATGGCTAATTTTAATAATTTATTTGCTATAAGGAAAGGAAAAAAATAGGAATATATTTCCATCGAGGGTAACATATGCAATATTAATGATCTAGAAAATTCTAGTTAGATGTTAAGTTTTCTTTTTTAAAATGAATTTTGGATTCAGGATATTATTTGCCCCTCATTTAGTTTCAACGACGAAAACATTAAAGGTGTAGAAATGCAAAAATCATGTATTTCAATGTATAAAATTAAAAAATTGGAAAAAAAATCTTTCTTTCTCTAATGTGAAAAAAGCAAAAAAATAAAATAAAATAAAATTTCAAACATAATTAATCATGGGATTATTTATAATTAATTATATAAGTATTAATATTTTTTTATATTATAATAATAATTAATTAATTAAAAAACTATATTAAAATATATATTAAAATAATAAATAAAATTATTGCTAATAAATAAATTTATATTATTTTTAATTTAAATAATTTCTTTTTTTATTCTGTTTTTCACATTTTCCCTCTTCCAAATCCAAACAAGAGCTCAAAACGTATTTAACAAAAAAAAATGTTATTTTTCATATTAAAAAATCATAACGAAATAGCTAAAAAATGTTTAGGTTAATCATAAACATTATATATAATTAAATAAATTATTGATCACAGGTATTAAAAATAAATATTCTACATTTTGTAATTGTCTTAAATGAACTCACATTTTTCTATTAGCAAATTTCTTCTAATTCAAAAAAAGTTATATTCCCACCTCTCTCTCTCTCTACATATTATTAAATAAATTATTGATCACATGTATTAAAAACAATTATTCTACAATTTCATGTAATTGTCTTAAATGAGCTATTAAAAAAAATACTCACATTTTCTATCAACAAGTTTCTTCTAATTAAATTTCATATTATTAATATGTTTTTTTTTCATCAAAGTAATTATTAACACAGATGGATATCTTTTAAATTTATAAGGTAAATATATTTTTTTAGCATTTTTATTTCATACTAATTAAAAATAATTAATATAAACTTATCTTCTAACAATGAATCACATTCTTGATTAAGTTAGACAGTATTATTACCGTTACTACACGCATTGAATTGTAACTTTGTTGTAGTCTTTGTTCACAAGTAAATTCTGAGGTTAAACATTATCCACTAACTTGTTGACTAAGGTCAAGTACCAATAGCTTATGCGACGGGAGGCAAATGTGAACATTGAATAACAGAAATTGGAAAGCGTGTTCTTCAACGATCTTATCTAATAAATCAAAACAAAGGTTATCTTAATAAATTATATTACGTATAATATAATTTAACGTAATAAATTTTTTTAAATGTGATTATTTTAATCTATTTATATTTCTCTGATCATTAGGGTAATATAATTTGTGTTTCTTACGTTGGATGTTTATTTACCCAATTAACAAGAAGCTTCATTAAAGCATGTCCTGGTTTATTTTCGGACTGGGCTGTCTATTTTATTTATGAAAAGCAAGTTGACAAAAAGTTATTATTGTTTTTCAACGAGTTAAGACCTTTTCTGATACGCCTGTGATGAAAAGGAATCAAAGTTGCTGTGAAGAAACACAAGCATGTTAGCATGCAAGTTACAACACAAACAACATGTAAACCAATGCGAGATTCATTTTGCTTCGTATGTTCGACTCACAGGTGATAACTTTTATTACTTTACAATATATTATTCATTATTTTTTATATTTAAAATTATATAATCTTAAGGTATGAATATAAGTGTATAAAATTATTTATTTCAAAAAGTTCACAATAAATGTATATTTTGGTCTCTATTTTTCCTCTTCCTGAAAAAGATATTTCTCTCTATTCAAATTATTCGCGTTAAAACTTTTCTTGCCAATTACATTTTTCAAAATATTATGATAACAATTATATAAGCTGATAGATTAACACTACAAGAAATTTTAATATTACCGACGGTCAAAATTGCATCGGTAATAACAAAAATTTGTCGATAATATTCATTTACCGACAGATTTTCGATGGCCAAAAATCCATCGGAAATTTGGTTATCGGTAAATATTACCGACGAAATTAATAGTTCGTCGGTAATTACCAACGGATATATCCGTCACTAAATGTTTTACGAAATTACCGACAAACAAAAATCCGTCGATAATATTTTTATTATTTATTAAATATTTTACTTATATAACTTATTTATTATTTTTATTATTTATTATTTCATTTATATTTTTATTATTTATTATTAATTAATTTTACCTATTACATTTTTATAGGCTTCAATTATATAAGTAAGCTACCAGATTTTTTTTGATAATAATTTACAAATAAATTATATTTATATATTTATATATTTATATATTTATATGTTTATATGTTTATATGTTTATATATTTATATATTTATTTATTTATATATTTATTTATTTATATATTTATATATTTATATATTTTTATATTTATATATATATTTTTATATATATTTTTATATATATATATATATATATTTATATATAATTAAATATTTTTATATATAATTAAATATTTATTTTTTAAAATTATTTAATTTAAGAAATTATTATAAATTAATCTAATTATGATTAAATTAAATTATTAAATAAAAAATATTTAATTTCTTAATTAGTTGAATATTTACTTGATTGTTAATTTACCAACGAGATATATCCATCGATAATTTATAGATGGATTTATCGACGGATATATCCGTCGGTAAATTCATCCGTAAATTACCGACAGATTTATCTATCCGTCGGTAACTAATTATTATTTTATCGACGTCGGTAAGATCAAATTCCACAAATATTTTATATCCGTCGGTAATTTACGTCGATAATAATTATTTTCCGATCGGATACAAATCCGATTGGTAATACGCGAATTTAAAATATCATTTAACAAATATTATATCAAATTTAAAGAAATTATTTTTACAGAACCTTAATTTTTTACTCATGAAAATTGATTGTTCGGTACTTTTAGTAAAAATAAAATAAAAAATTCTATAGATAAAATAAAATTTAAAAGATAGTCAATTTAACATATTTAGACATGAAATTTTGATAAACCGCAGCACATCAATTGTTTAAAACAGCGGTGAAGTTAATCTAAAGATCTTTGTTGAGTTTATAAATCAACACTACAAGAAAAAAATTGTAATGAATTATTTATATTTTAATATATTCAAATTATTTGAATATTTACTTATTTTTAATTATTCATTTTAACATTTAAAAAAATGATGTGTGTATTATTATGAAATTTAAAGATAATAGAATCATAATTAATTATTTTTTTAAAATAATAAAAATTAAATTAGTAGTTATTAGAATAATTAATTGTGATAAACATGTGCTGACACTAATAATAATATTATTATATTATAAATTCTAAATAATGACCATTAAATCAACATATTGTCTAATATATTTTGAGTACTTCAATTTGTGAATATTAGATATTAATATAAGTGATGATATATTTATCACAAATATATATATATATATATATATATATATATATATATATATATATATTTACCTTCCTAAATGTGGTTACTAATTTAATAGTGACTCAAAATTAATGACTATTAATCACAAATTAAACTTTCATAATTATATCTATTTAACTATCACTTTTTTACTTTTATTAATGAATATTATCATCTTAAACAACAATTTATTTTTGTAATACTGAAATCTTGACACGCCCAAACTTCGGAACAAACATGATAAATTAGAATGTAATATCCCTGACATGATAGATAAGAAATGATGATAATAGTTCTTAAAAACAAGTAAATAAGTTTGAGTATTCAACTCAAACTCAGATCAACGTCATCATGCCACATTAACTCGAATAGGGTCTATTAGCAAACACTGAATTCTGTTCTTTGATACAGCGTCTTGTCGTCCAAATCCGTCTCCAATTTGGTATGTGTAATGAGCAGTCCGAGCATGGTTAATGCAAACTTTTACGAAAGATTTGGAAAACGTAGAGTTCATGACTTGGTATTTATTCAACTTACGCCATTCTTTTTCAATCAATGTTTTATAGTGTAGACGGGCTTTTTCTTCCGAGAAACCAGTTTCATGCATGTAACTTAATATTGAACTTGAAATTTCACCCCTCTCAATCTCATCCTGCAAAAAACAAAGCCTTAAAATGAGGTTGACATACTTGTGCTACAGTATGAGGTTGTAGCAAGCAAAATTGAAGTTACCGAGGATGTTCCCCAATCATTGCAAAGCCTTAAAATGGTCATTGAAGAGCGCAAGAGGTCATGGTAATTAGCTAAGGAATGAAGCGATTGCTCTGTGATGTCGTGGTCTGGAGTGACTAAGAAGAAGGAATGAGTAAGAAGAACTCCACCTGAGGATGAGATCCATCCATTGTCAAGGAACTCGTTCAATGGTGGAATCACTTTATTGTAATACCATTTTGCTTCTTGCAGGTATGATTTGCACAAATCAGACCACTGTCAAGTTATCCAGTGAAAAAATTAATTTGAATTGCAACTAAAATATAAGAAAGAATGATTAGTTGTGCTATATTACGTACAGCTTTGGTGAGGTAAGGAAGACATTTTATGCCCCGTTCTTTGAAGATGTCATAAGCCATCCCATTAACAGTGTTATAAAGAGCTAAGAAACACAACATCATGTAGTCTGGTAGAGTGTTCATGGCATTTACATCCCATCTGGAACTCAGGTATGCAACTAATTAGAGGAATGCAATTATTATATTCCTTCATTAATATACCCTAACATTAGTTCAAATTATGTAGTCTCACTGTTCATCAAATAAATACAACTTATGATACTATATGTATTTTCTTGATAAATTTTAATCATTTATCAGAAGCACGTGACTTGTTATCATACTCTTTAAAACCTTATAACAAGTTGGAGTAAGGAAATAGAATTATTATTTTTTAAAGTAAAGATTAATTAAGTTTTTTTTTTAATATTAGATTAACAAACCTTTCGACAACATTTGTGAAGAGCTCCAACTCATCCAGAGTACCGTAGACATCATATACATATCATCTACGATTGTGATCAATTTTCCCACTTTCGTGAGTTCTTCACGATAATTAGCAAATATAAGTTCAGGTTCCATTCCCACCGACCAATAGAAAGATTCCACAAATCTATCTCGAGCAAAATTCAGTTTGGTTGTGAGGCCAAGGTCCATCCACCACCTAGATAATAACACATTATAAAAGAAATGAATATAATTTTAGAAGAGTGCATAGAAGATAATACTGAAGAGGTTGTACTGTTTAGTGGAACTTCATTGATTTTAGTGGAGCTGCATTGATCAGTCTGTGTCAATAACGAGGTTGTACTTTATATACTGAAGATATTTTTCTACTTTAAAAAGAATGATGTTATCTTTTTGTGATTACTTTTATCATTATTTCACACAAATTGTTGTAAGTTAGGAAAAAATATTTCTTCTCCATATTATGATATTTTTAGCTGTTAAGTTGTTGTTTACCTGGACAATTGCTGTAGCTCTTTTTGACATGATAATTGAACCATGTTGAAATCCAGCTTTGCAAGCTAACAAATAGCGATCATGTCCTTCCTTTTTATTGTATATGTCAATATACCATCGTGCCTCCAGTCTCTGAAAGCTTTGGTGATAGGGATGTTGGAAAAACAATAACAATAATGATAATCCTGATTTTGATTCTAACGATCAAACATAAACATAATCCCATACTGATAAACATGTTGTAAACTGAATGCGAAAGCGTATCTGAATTAATCATAATAATGATGTCTTTGTAGAGCACTGTATTGATCTTATGGTCTTCCACCTGAAGAGCACCTGTATTTCCCTCTTGATTTTCTCTCTTGATGGGGATAGAAAGAAAGGAACAGGACTGATACTTACGTTCTGTCTACGTGCTCTCAGAAGGGGACCATGACCCTTTAGATAACCAGAATTAGGTTAATTACTTAAGTTTTAGTATTTCCAATTTGGCCCCTCATCAAATTAGAAATTGCTCTATGGTCTCTACACAATTTTATTTTCATGACATATGCTTTTAGCCAAAACTTTAATTTAGTCAGATCACTTTATTATTTGGCTTAATAAATAATGACCCTAACACATTTAAATATGTATCATATATATACATGACCCAAAATTTTCCAACAATCTCCCACTGGTCACAAATATATATGTCTTTACAACCTTACAAATGTGTTAGACTTTATGAGCTCAAAATTGTCATTATATTCCTTTAGCATATTCCAAAAGTCCTGTCCATTAATCATATTAGGATATAGAACCAAACCAGCTTTTCATTGCATCATCGCAACTAAAACCAACAAGATTACTCATCCTGACATAACCAAATGACATGGATTCATCATGAAATGTGTAGCATGAAAAATTACGTGAAGGTGATCTGTACACGTCTATTTTCAACTGGTCCAAACTTTAACTTATCGAGATCGATACAATAACCTTAATGTACAAAGTGTAATGAATGAACAAGAAAACCGCATATCTATAGATAACCAAATATGTCCAAAAAAACAATGTATACATATATGAAATTAAACATAGAACATAAAATATATGAAAGTGACTAACTTCCACTAAACCACAAATTCCTCAAACTGTAAAACACCCATGTGAGCAAAATGCTCATGAAAGACCTTGGGCGGAAGTCCTTTAGTCAGAGGATCTGGTATCATGGAGTTTGTCCTTAAGTGTTCTATGAAAATCTGTCCACTTTGTACTCTTTCCTTAACAATACAGCTGATTTATTGTCACAATATAACTTAAGTGGTCTTTCAATGCCTTTCACAATTTGCAGCCCTGTGACAAAATTTATCAGTCATATTCCATGATTTGATGCCTCATAGCATGCTACAAATTCTTGACATCCTGCAAAATATGAGTCAGAAAATCCAGCGATCTCCAACTGGTCTGACATCCTATATGTGAGCATATAATCTTTTGTTCTCTTTAAATATCTTATGACCCTTTTTGCTGCTTTCCAATGGTCTATTCCTGAATTGCTTAAATATCTGCTTAGAACCCCAACTATGTATGTTATGTCTGGACACGTACATATTTGGGAATACATCAAACTCCCGATAGCTGATGCATGGGGAATCTGTTGCATTTCCTCAATTTCCAAATTCCTCTTTGGGCACTAATTTAGACTAAACTTGTCTCCCTTAGTAGCTGGAGTATCCTCGGCTCATGACGCACAGGTTCTTGAGGATCTTGAGTTTGTTCTTCATGAACAACCAAATCATCTTGAGTGAGGGGTTCATCAACAATGCCTTGTGGAGGTTCCGAACTTACTTTATCAAAAGTAACTATTTGAATCGGTTCTAAAATTGTTACCGATTCTTCCTCCAAGATGAAGTTCTTAATCTTATTCTTCCCCCCAAACTTAATATCCTCAAAGAACGTAGCAGTTCCCGTCTCAAAAAATTGTCTTTAATGTGGGATCATAATATTTATATCCCCTGGATCTTTCAGCATAACCAATAATATAACCACTTACCGTTCGGAGTCCAATTAAACTAATTATGCTCACATTATATAAAAAATAAATAATATATATTCAAATAGTGGTTTAACCCATCTCAAGATACCCAATGCACCATCAATATCAAGTCTTTGGACAAGTAATATTAACTCGCTAGAGGTATCTTGTTGTAATAATCAAACATTGACAATAAAGCACGTCCAACAACAAAGCAGTCTTTGGATTGATTTATCATCGACAAAGCAAATCCTTATAATTATCACATGTTTATCATTACAAGTGTGTATGCAATTCGGCCAAATATTAATCTTCCTTTGGGCCGACTAATACTCGCATGAATATACACAAACACTAACATTCAATATTTTTCATGAACTGCCCAATTCAAGAGAAGTTACTTTGGTGACTTCTTGACTCAATTTGCTCACAAAAAATATTAAACTACCAAAAATTGAATATTTTATTTATATAACAAAACCAAATATTTAATATTTGCAAACTAATTCAAAAGAGAATCACCTCATTATAATTCTACTAAGGATGAACACCTCCCTGGAATCTCATTAGGGATGAACACCTCATTTGAACAAATCAAAGGATGAAAAAAAAACCTCATTTTCCACCAATACATAAAGGATGAACATCTTCCTAAAATCACACTAGGGATGAAACAGAGATAGTTCGAGTCTCTTTAGCATACTCGCTCTAAACCCTAAAAGGGAATTAAACGAGTAATCACTCGGACCCTAATTTAACATCAAATTTTCCTTAAATTCCTAGGGGATAGAGGCAATAAAATAATAACGACCAAACATGTGGAAACATTCATCATTTACCTAAGATTCTCTGTGTTGGGAACTCCACAAACACCACCCCCAATTCCAAACTCATAAAATTAAATAAAAACAAAAGATTCAAAAAAGAACAGAGAACGCACTACAAGAAAAATTGAAATATGAAACACTGTTTCTTTCTCAGTAAAACTTGAAACTTAAACTGAAACAAAAGTGAAAAACGAAGAAGAAGAAGAATCCATAGCTTCCTCCACGGTTCCATCAGCAAGCAGAATCAGATTGGGGATGTTACCCCCAAATTTAAATTTTAGGGTTCACAAAAATTAGAGATTATCCTCCACTTAGGGTTCATAAAATTGGGTAATCTGAATTGTTTAAAACAAAATTAATCCTAATTTTCATAATTAGGGTTCTATAAATTAAACAGACATGAATCAAATATGGGCGGCTCTGATACCAATTGTTGGAAAAACAATAACAATAATAATAATCCTGATTTTGATTCTAACGATCAAACATAAACATAATCCCATACTGATAAACATGTTGTAAACTGAATGCGAAAGCGTACCTGAATTAATCATAATGATGATGTCTTTGTAGAGCACTGTATTGATCTTATGGTCTTCCACCTGAAGAGCACCTGTATTTCCCTCTTGATTTTCTCTCTTGATGGGGATAGAAAGAAAGGAACAGGACTGATACTTACGTTCTGTCTACGTGCTCTCAGAAGGGGACCATGACCCTTTAGATAACCAGAATTAGGTTAATTACTTAAGTTTTAGTATTTCCAATTTGGCCCCTCATCAAATTAGAAATTGCTCTATGGTCTCTACACAATTTTATTTTCATGACATATGCTTTTAGCCAAAACTTTAATTTAGTCAGATCACTTTATTATTTGGCTTAATAAATAATGACCCTAACACATTTAAATATGTATCATATATATACATGACCCAAAATTTTCCAACAAGGGAAGCCCCTCCAACACATGCCTAACTTCTTCACCCACTTCCTTATCTATCCCCTCTTTTATTAAGTTCATCAGACATGTTCTTGAAAATGCATTTCCCTCCCACACACTTTCTCCTTCAAAGCTCAAGTAGGATGCCTCGTATAGACTTAACATTCCTTCAACATCATGGCTAATTTCAGCCTTAAATTTCCCCTCTTCATCTTTGAAACTGTCAAAAACATCTGCATCTCACATAATAACATAAATGAAAGCTCTTTTAAGTATGAGTAATAACTAAAGGCAAGATATGAAAATAAAAGGTATTCATTGGCCTAAAGTTGAAATGAGACCTTGTGAGACATCAAATCCATGTTGTCTAAGAAGGCGGAAAAGGAGGGCAGTTTCATGCAGACTTTTTTTCTGTGATTCGTCTTTCAAGTTTTGTGTTGAAACAATCCTGTGAAGGGCATTGTTTATGTCGTCTTCGAACTTGTAGTGCAGCCCCAACCGCTGGATGTCATCAATTAATTCCAGTAAGCTTCGTGGCTCCATGTCTTTTCTATTAATCATATGCCTTACATTCTCCTCAAGCGTTGCTGTTCTCTCTTGCACTGTTTTAACCTGTGTTTTGTGAGAAAAAAAGTTAGTTTGCTAAGTTTTACACTATCATGACACAAGGTCTACACTAACTGAAGCTAAAAATATGGAGGAAAGGTAGAGCAGAAGAAAGGGTAAAAGAAAGTTAATTAAATGTAGAGTCACCGGTAGATGATTTCCCAGAGACTGGACAAATTCATGGGTCCAATGATTTGGGTGGTAATTTGCTGAACGTCTGTTTTGATTGAGTTAACTGGAAATGGTGTTTAGTGGCGGCACAAGCAAGTTGCAAAGATTTGTTGAGAAATTTGGCATCGGAATTGGCAAGAGCTATTGGATGTCCTACGTTGATATGTGATTTACGTAGAATTTGTGTGTGATTGGGATGGCTGAATGCATCCCTTCCCATCACGCACTGTACTATACTGTGTGCCATTTCTGGATGTGATGATGATGCTTAGCAATGCCCGTGTCTCTCTATGTATAATTAGAACACTCTTATTCCTACAACCCATGCTCTCATTCAACTACTGTAAATAATAATAATAATAATAATAAATAAGATTATTATAATAATAGATTTGGTTGTTGGAAGACGTACAGGACAAATCCGATTGTGAAAACATCATTCTTGATATAATTATTCACCAGCAAAAGAAAAAACATTAAAAAATATGAACTTATCATCCATTCAATTATATATTTATTTATATACTATAATTTCATTATATTTTATTAAAATATTTTTAATATATTCTTTAAATTTAATATTTTTTAAACCCATGCATTTAGTATTAGATAATTAGACTCTTAAATAAATAAATAAATAAATAAAGATATATTTTGACATTAATTAAAAATTTATTTTTAAAATCTAATTCAATTTTTAATATTACATTTTAAGATGATATTTGCAATTATATATATATATATATATATATATATATATATATATATATATATATATATATATATATATATATAAGGAAAGAAGTTAATTGGGAGTAATTCTAAAATAATTACTCTTTGTTTTCATACTTTATTTATTGTGATTTAACTGTTATAAATAAATAACTTATTATCAATATAAAAGTAAGAAAATAAAAAAAATATAATGATAGGAAAGTATTTCTCATAAAATTACTATTAACATAATTTTATTTTCATAAAAAATAGTCACCATATAAACATTTGCCTTTGACTTCACTTGTAATTTTAAGTCACATCTGACCTAACTTGGCTGTCATAGTTAACAAGGGTGGAGCACACACTCAGCGCTTCCAAAATTATTATAATAATTTAACATCTTTTTTAAAAGAAAAAAAAAAGAGCTTTATGATGGGGTGCAATGCAACGGATTTTTATTTTCTAGTGTAATTTTTCCACAGCTCTGTTTTTAAGTCTTTTTTTTTTTTTATGTGATTGTAGTAAAATGCAAGTTATATTGTAGGTAAAATATCATTTCAAAACTTATTGTCACCAACAGGTAAATTATTAAAAGTCAATTTTATAATCACATAAAAGGGCATCGAAAACCTGCACAAGATAATGAAGTCAGTTTGACATTACACATATAGCATATGCTCCACATTCTGCGACCAGTAATTGTTGACTTCTTTTCTTGTCTTCGCAAATAACTTATTTTCTTATATTTATATCACAAAGATAATATTGGAAATCAAATGTGTATGAGTTTCATAAAGAAAAATTATAAGATGAATAATATAAATAATCTTAAGTTTTGAGATGCAACGCATGTTTTTTTATATGATCGATAAGCTTATGACATATTGAAAAAAAAAATTATATATATATTTCCTAAAAAGACCAACACATAAAATATTAGATATGTACATATAATTTATATACGTAAAAAGAATATTTAAAGACACGTATATATACTCGAAATTATATGGCTAAATTTATATAGTTTATTTGCTACAAGGACAGGAAGAAATAGGAACATATTTCCATCGAGGGTAATTTATGCAATATAAATGATTTAGAAAATAGTAGTTAGGTGGTCATGGTTTTTTAAAAATGATTTTCTGACCCAAAATATTATTTGACTCTTTAAACCGCATTTGATAATTATTTTTCATATTAAAAAATCATATTTCTAAAATAACGGCTGAAAATGTTTCTGTTAATCGTAAACATTTTTTTATAATGTTTATAATTTTTTAATACTTAAAGAAATTATTGATCACATTTAAATATTCAACAATTTTATGTCATTGTATTAAATATGCGAGATTTATATTAAAAAAAGACAATTAAATTTTTAAAGCATTAAAAATTTTATTCTAATTCAAAAAAATACATTTCGACCTTGCATAACACTAATTTTATAAAAAAATACAGGTAACAAAAATTATCTAGAAACAATATTTTTTTTAAATAATAAATAAAACATGAAAAATAAATTTTCCTAACCTAGTAAACTAAAAAAAATAAAAAATCTTGCATCAAACGATATTGTATTATGAGAGGAAAAAATTATTTTTATGCAAGGGGGTGAAGATATAAATTTATTTTTCACGGATGGTAAACATAAAAAATTAAATATTTTAATTACCCAAAATTCATTGTAAATGTAATAAAAAATAATAATTATAAAATTACAAATTTATATAGAAAAACTAATTAAATAATAAGGTGAGTATATTTTTTTAACAATTTTATTTCATACTCAAAATAATTAATATCAACATATGCCTTGTTAACTACGGTCAAGTACCAGTAACTTATGCGACAAGGACAACATTGAATAAGAGAAATTCGAAAGCGCGTTCTTTAACGGTCTTATCTATTCTACGTACAGTGAGAATAAATCAAGACAAAGGTTATCTTAATCATTTATATTTCGTAGAATATAATTTAATGTAATATTACTTTTTTAAATGTGATTATTTTAATCTACTTCATTTGTCTGTTCATCATGGTAATATATTCTGTCTTTCTTACGTTGAATGTTTATTTACCCAAGCTTCATTAAAGCATGTCCTGATTCATTCTCTGATTGGGCTATTTATTTTATTTATGAAAAACAAATTGAGAAAAAGTGATTATATCATCTTTTAAGGGAGAATGCTTAAAAAAAAAGAAAATTAATGTGATTGAAGTAATTCTCATTAAAAAAATGAGATGAAGAGTTATTTCAGATGAGAAAATTATTTCTATTTGAAATAAAATAAAATATTTTAATATCTTATATGTAATAAATAAATTAAAATAATCCACCATTAATATAAAATTATCATCCATTCAAAACATTTTAAATAAAAAATTACAAAATTATTGATCACCAACAATAATTATTAATCAACAATAATTAATTTTAAAATTAAAATATATAAATTTCTAACAAAAATTATATTACTAAATAATAAAATAGATGCCGCATCAATGACCATAGATATAATGATAACAAATACAACGACAATGATAATAAAAGTAACAACAACAACCGTAGAAATAAAGGTGAACAATGGTGGTGGACAACGAATATAAAGAGAAGAAGAGATGAAAGAGAAAGAGAGAAGGAGGAAGAGGAGAAGAAAGAGAAAGAGAGAAGGGGAAGAGAAAAGAGAAGTGGTAGAAAGAAATGATATATCATGATCGAAATAAAAAAAACATGTGATTAAATGGAATAATAGAGTTGAAAATTAGACTTTTAGATTAGAAAGAGAAAAAAAATTTGACTATTTAACTATATATGTTATTAACCATTGAGAAGTGATTTTAAATTTTATCATTTAGAACTAGTCGTTTACAAATATTTTTCTACATTGTAAAACCTCCATCTAGAGTAAAAAATTTTCACATATCCTTCATTTTACCATTTTTTTCTCTAATTACAAATTTCAATAAATTTAATTACCAATATTATTATAATTTATTATAAAATCATTCATTTACTTGGTGAAAATTCTTAAATTTTGCAAAATTATAATTATCCACCACCATTTTTTATATTTCCACTATCTCCAATGACATCAAATATAAGTAACATTCCTCTTTTATCTAATATAAAACTTTATTCCTTAATCAAACTCGATAATATCTAACTTAATGGAAGCAATGAAAATATGTCTCAGAAGAAATCTCGTTATCATGGTTGAATGTAGTAGAAGATTCAATTGTTGGAGCTATTCAATCATTAACCCAATATTATATGAGCGAATAAAAAAAACATACAACAATGACGACGATAATAGCACTTTCACAAAGTGGTCAGTGAGTTAATTAAAATCTCGATGAAGTAAACTTTATCTTGTAGTTCAAAAATTTAATGCATGTTATAAATAAGCTATCAATCAAAGGAAAAGTGATTGAGTCGAAAAAAATGTTATTTACACATAAGATTTTCACAGAAAACTCGAAAGAAAAAAAATTTGAATGTAAACATACTTGGTAGTTATTAAGAGATGAGTCAAAAGGGCAATCAACATGGATGATTCTTAAAAAAGATACAAGATTTATACTTCAAACGCATACTCATCATCTTCTATCTTAGAGACAACCTATTGGACAAAAGGTGACCAAAAGAAAGAACAAAAGAAAAGTCAATGCAAGTGTTAATGTGTTCACATAAGTGCACGATTGTTGTTTGCAAAAATGTACTGTTGTTGTTTGCATATTGATTTATGGCTCACCTACACAATGTGGACGAATATATTCTAATTGGTGTAAGCAATGCAGTAGAATGCTTACAACTATTTGTATTGGGCATTTGTACAGTATTTGAAAATGAATATTTAAGAAGACTTAACAACGAAAACATTGATTAACTACTACAAATGATAGTAACACATGACTTGCCAGGTATGTAGGATCAATTGATTATATGTATTAGGAATAAAAAATTGTACAATTACATGGAAAGATCAATTTTATGGAGGTGATCATGTTAACTCAACAATCATTCTCGAAATTGTGACATCACAAAGCTTGTTGGGTTGAGCTTCCAA